AGCCACTTCCGCAGGAGTTCGATCCCCACCTGCCCCGGAGGTGACCACATGGCGCGGCAGACCTGTCTTGACCGGCCCGCTGCTCCCCTCAGCAGCATACTTCGTCCATCTGCCTGTTCTGCTCCCCACTCTGTCTCTGGTGAAGTCTCTCGCCGCCCCTGAGCCTCTGGCCTGTACCCCAGTTCTGTATGCACAAATAAATCTTTAAAAAAAAAAAAAAAAAAAACCCTAAGTTGTAGCTGTGCCATCAAATTAGGGTATTGGCTGAACTTCATCCCCAAATGATATTAAACCCACCTTTGGAACATGAACAGATGATTCACATAGTCTCTAAAACTTAGAAAAACTAGAAAACAGTTCAAACTATTATATAAATTCAGTAAGGCAAGAGTGTTATGGGAATTATCAAAACCCCTCCATTTGTATTTATGGTTACAACAAAACAGTTTTATGTAAAACAAAACGTGAACTTTCCATTTATCTTCCACACATTCAGTCTCAACACAAAGTAGTCAATAAATACTTGTTTATTGATTAAACTGAATTATAAAAAACAAAACAAAAAAACTTCCTTCTACTACTAAGCCATGCAGGCAGAATCCACAAGGATGACTTCCTGGCCAACACCCAGCTGATTCACTGTTGTTACTGTGGTCTTTAAAAAATTTACCCATCAAAGTTGTGGTGTGCAGAGGCCAGGAACCCAGCTAACTCTGCAAACTCTGGGGCTGCTGCAGAGACTACCAAAGAGAAAAATTAGGTCTTTGTGGACAAAGTTGACCATTAGTTCTTAACTTTCTCAAAGGTATTGGGCTGACGTGAAAGTCCATATTCTGTCAAAGTAGCATCAAGCAAAAGGCTGGAGAGAAGCCCAATTGGATCCTCAGTTCAGTTTCAGATGCCATGGCTTCACAAAGCTGGCCAAGCTGTTTCTGGGAGGGATCACTCCAGTTCACTATATTATAGTGTGCTGGGGGGTTAAAAGCCCAAAAAAAAAAAAAAAAATGTGAGGAGAAACAGGCAGTAACAAATGTTACACACCTGTACATCAGGCCCATCACATCTTGGAGAATCTCCCAGTCTGTGAAAGCCTATTAAAATAGGGTGACCTAGAAAATAACCACATTGTTTATAAATCCATTTCCCCTTATTTTATTAAATGTTCCGCTTATGTACATTTTAAAGATGAACCATTTACAAGCCTGTGCAGGTTGCCTCCTTGACTCACAGGAGGGAAAACATTGCTGAAAAAGCCTCAGGACAGACAGAACAGTGGTGTAGCTGTGGGCAAGGTGGACTTGGATTTTTGTTCCTTTGCTGTTATAGTACACTTCAGTTTATAATCATGAGTACATACAATTTTTAAAAAATCCCTCATGCAAATTGTAGAAAAAATTTCTTTCCTTGACGCTGGCAGTGAAAAATAAAGATTCGTGTCTTTCTTTGTGCACACCACCCCTGTGCTTCTTCATGTCAGATTCTTTTCTGATCATTAAAAGACTGGGGAAAGCCACAGGATTTCAATGAGTGGTCTTCTTTTAAAAGTTCAACACTTCTTGCACAATTAGCTTCTGTAGGACATGTGGTCTCCTGAACAGGCATGCTGTCCATAACAGGATAAAGTTCAACCAAGAAAGGACAGCCCCAGGGTCTGCGGGATGAAGCCCCACACACAGAATGGCCTCCACCCTACAGCTGTGATCCCCTCAGTACCTCCAGGTTCTAAGAAAACATTTATGGTCCTTTGTCCAAGAGTGATGGTGTGAGAATAGGGCAAGGGTCAAGGGCAGCAAGTGCAAAGAATATTGGTTTGTCATGTTTTTGTTGGGAGGATGGTAAGGAGTAACAATCTATTCATTCTGGATGATTAAAGATGGTTTTCATGCATTTTTAAAGCCACAATTTTATGTCTAGAGTTGTAGAAACATCTCTGGAGAGGGAAGGAAAGTAAGGAGAAGGAAGAGAGTTCAGTGGGGTTTTTTTTTTTTCATTTTTGCTTTTATAGAAAAGTGTTTTAAGACCACATGAAAAAAGTTTTTACCCATATATATAATAAATCAGTTTGTGAGCTACATATTTTTATCTTTCCCATCTTCAGAAATGCTCTCACATTGACAATGGTTGGATATAGCATCATGCCCAAAGACATTGGCCACAGTCGAATAAACAGAAAACCCAGATGTACTATGACACAAGTGAGGTAAAAGGGGAAACAAAAACTTAACATTTGTCCACAAGAATTTTTTTCTTTTTCTTGATTTTGTCAGAAAAATACCAAACACAGTGATTAAAAAAAAGTCACAAAAGCCTTTTTTTTTAGAAGTGAATGACCAAAGGGCCAGCTCCTCGGCTCAGACGTGATCACTATTGGTTTTCCTAATTACCCACAAATCCACAGGGAAGTATAAGTCAACATCCGGGGGGGGGGGGTGGCAAAAATTTAAAAATATAAACCAAATAATCCACCTGGTGTACCCCCTTTTCCCTAAATCCCTGCACCCTCCCTCACACTTTCCCACCCCTACTCCATACCCCCCCTTCATGACCCCAACACTCAAATCTCCATCAGATCTAGGTCAGCTTCTTCAAAGCCATAGAAGGACTCAGTCTCACTTTCGCCCTCAAAGAGCTGGTGAAGGCTTTCAGGCTCAACTGTCTCTTCGGGAGATGATCTGGGTCGGGGAGTGGAAGCTGAGGGCTCCTCAGACTGTTCCCCACTCAGCTTCAGCTGCTCCTCTAGGGAGGCAATTAGCTCCTCCTGCATGTCAGCATTTCTTGTAGGTGAGTTAATGTTGCCATCAGGGCCAGGTAGAACACTAGCCACAAGGAAGGACCGCTGAACAAGCTCTGGACAGTCCCCAATGACACCCAGCACTTCAGCCAGCCAGACCAGCACCAGCTGAAGCAGGACCTCAGAATCACATCCAGTATCTGCCATTTCCCGAGCCTGTTCCTTCCACTTTTTGTGCAGGAAGTTCTTGACAGTTCGTTTGATGCACACATCTAATGGCTGGATTTTGGAGCTACAGCCTGCTGGGACCACTGCAGGCAAAGTGCTAGAGGCACTAAGCATTGCCAGCACCTCTTCTGACAAGTGAGTGCGGTGACAGTCCATCACCAGCATGCCTTTGCTGCGCTGGCAGGCCGTGTGCTTCTGCCACACTCGGGTTGACCACAGCTCCATGATCTCGTCATCGCTATAGCCACTCTCCTTCACCTCTAGCAATATGGAGTCTGGCACATTAGCAGGCTGATCTATCTGTCCTCGGTAGAAAACCAGGGTGGGGAGGACCGTGCCATCTGCCAGAATGGCCAGCACCACATCACACCAAGGCTCCCCTGTGCCCACTGTCTGCAGAGCATTCTCCTTTCGGTCATCACTGCTCAGCACTTCCATATCCAGAAACAAGGAGATCTCGTCAATAGCCACAATCATGGACAATGGTAAGTCCTGGTTGTGAATCTGCCGTTGCACAAATTCAATGAAGAGTCCTGCATTGTCTGCCACATCCTTGGGTAGTGTGTGGGCCACTGCGCGCCGGGCATGGGGAGTCAGGTGGTGCCGCAGCATAAAACGCACAGCCCATTCATAAGAGATCTTAAACCCCCCCTCCAAAGAACGTCCTATTTTAGTGGCCTTCTGGAACAAGGTCTCCTCATTCACAGGGAGCTGTTGCTCTCGCTGGGTCAATACCCATTCTGCCAGTTTCTCTTCTGCCTCTAAGCTCAGGTATTTGCCCTCCAGGTTCTCCTCCTGGGAGGCCTGGAAGCGCCGAAGCCAACGCCGAATGCGTCGCTGGGGGTTTCGGAAGTGTTCGGCTGCCTGTTCTGTATTGCAGCATAGGGCAAACAGTACCACTCGAAGCTTCTTCACAGATAGCTGCTCCTTCTTGCCGATCCCACTGCTACTACCAGCCCCTGATGCTGGCTCAGGTTCCTGGGTGACTGGGCTCCCTTCATCCTGGTCATCAACATTTAGACATTCTGCCCCCTCGGTAGCCAGGGGTAGAGGGGCTACAGGCTGGGGATGAGTTGGAGTTGGTGGTGGTGTTGCAGTTGAGGCTGGTGATGGGAGTGCCTGAGCCATGGGAGTTGGTAGCTCTTCAGGTTCAGCTGGGGTGGCCCCCACAGATTTCACAGTGGCAGCTTTATTAGAAGGGAAGGAAGGAGGAGGGTACATATTCTTCAAGTTCCGGTCATGTACTCGGTCACGAGTCTGGCCATGCCTAAAGAACAGCAAAAAAAGAAGAGAAAGCTGTGTTAAACTAGAAAAACCAAATAAAGTTAGTAGTTACGACAACAGAGACCAAACATACAGCAAAGCAGAAATTAAGTCATAAAGTGTTTGTTACCTTGAGTGAGATATCCAAGTAAGTCCTATGAAAAATGAGACAAAAAAATGTTAACTCAGTGAAGAAACAAGCCCCTCCAAGAACTGTATTGTTATTTCAACCAAAAAAGCAAAGTGCTACCTTCCCAGTCTTATATAAACTTCTGATTACAATGTTCCCAATTTGGTTAAGGCGGAGCAGGGATGCTCTTGACTCACACAGCATGATTCACATCCTTGACGTACTACCTGCTTCTCTTCTACTTACCCCGTGGCAGTATGCTACTCGATCTGTGAGAGGGGTTGAATACCAAATGCTTGGCCATGGCATCTCCCACAGAGGTAACGAAGGTACATGAAGTGCAGACCAGATTGCTTCCACTAAGAAAGCGAAATACATAAGAATATGCATGATTAGTAGGGACACTACAGAGTGAAGTTTTGAGGCTTAATAGAGAAAAGAAGTATCCCCCACATCCCCCTTTCAAATAAAGTCACATCTCCCAAAATAATAAAAGGATTTAATGTAAATTTGAAAACTTAAAGAGATGATCAAGTTTTTTCTTACCTCACAGAATTTTTAAACAAAGCCAAATACTTGGGGCTCTTCCGTGGAACATGATTGCTGCAAAAGACAAAGTGCTCTTCAGGCAGAGCTCACCAGTCACTGGCAATGTCCAACAGGATACCTCTCCCTGCTAGCCTAACCTCAATCCAAACTAGCTTTCCGGCCTTCAACGCTTCCTATTAATATGCATGAGTTACCTGGGGACCTATTCAAGTGCACATTCTGATTCAATCGGCCTGAGGGAGGGCCCAGAATCTGCATATCGAATAAATTCCTTGGACCCACCACACTTCGAGTAGCAAAACTTAGAACACAGATCATAAGTCAAATGAACAAGGTCTGACCTCTCTCCCTGCTAGGAGAGATGGACAAATCTTTCTAGGAGGTGACAGAGGAAGACACTAACAGTAGGGCAGGGAATAAAGTGGCTTCTGGAGAATTTGAGCTCTCAGAAAAAAACCAGTTTAACCATCACCTACTTGATCATGTGGTTGGCATACGCTCGAGAACAGCAGGTGCTGTAGCGACACAGAGAACAGTGCACATAAGTAGGGAAGTGATTAGGGAAATCTGGGATCTCAAAACTGCACTCCAGACAAGTCTGTCGGCCCATGACACTCCTGTCAAGAAACAAGAAAAATTTTCATTACCCTCCCACCAAAGAGCCCACAAAGTACAGGGGCTTTTGACAACAGATCCTGCTAACAGGCTACCAGATTACACTATCAGGAATAATCCTTCCCAGTCAGCCCCAGCCTCTAGAAGAAGGCACTGACATTTTTCTAACAGCTCTCTTCTGGATGTTGCGCTGAACGGGGGGGTAAAGGAAGACAGGCAGAGGGTCTGTTGAGGAAGTCAGTGGTGCTGCCTCCTGCAAGGTGCTGGGAGGTGCATCATTGGAAGATACAGGAACTGTTCGTGGCTGCCCTCGAGAAGCCCGGATTGTCACCTGTGAGTCAAGGGAAGGGACAATTAGATAATACCCATACTAAACCTTGGAGTCTGAAAATCTGTTACTCTTCTCTTGGAACAAACTGCAAACTAACCCATTACCTTGGTGCCTGGTTTCAAGCCTTCCAGCTGCTTAGGTTTACGGAAGGTTTTATGGTGTTGAAGCTTGTGTTCGATTTTATCCTTGGCAAACAGAAACTGCAGTCGGCATTTATTGCAGTGATACACATTCCTCTTCTAAAGAGGGAGAAAAAGAAACAGAGTTCCTTAAAAGTTCCCAGAAATTTTTCTCCCTGAAGAAAAGGTAGATCAATACCAAGTGTATCATTCTTCCCACCATTCTGTTGGTAATTCAAAAGAGTAAGAAACACGACAACAAACCTGCCTTCAACAATCATCACCTCCTAAACTCCCAAAGGTGGACTCAAAAGCCAGGGTGACTCAGTCCTTAGATCATCTCTTCCTGGCTGGCCAAGGACCTTTGCACAAATGTCTTAAACTTTACTTGCCACCACTTTCTCTTTCATTTCAGACAACAATACCCAATTCTAGACATTCTTCCTTCCTAGTTGTTAATCGCAGTGAAATATGTATGATGAAAAAAAGCACTTTTTATCCATGTTAAGATGCCTTCAACTTTGACCTTCAGTTCCTTTCCATGGAAACAACTTGCTGTCAGTTGCTTGGGTATTCTTTCATGAACAGTCTACACATATAACCAGAGAACACAAACATCTCTAATCATCACCTCCTGTTTCTTTGCCTTTTTTCTACACCTTGTGGTTTCTCCACTTAACATATCAATATATACATCTAAGCCTCCCGGTAAGACCATTTTGAGGATTCCTCTGCCTACCACTGAAGCCCTTCAAAATCAGGACCCTAACTGTGACTCTCTTCCCTTAAATAGTAAGGCTCTAAAACCTCAAATGCATTACAAGTAACAACTTCCATGCTGCTACATGTACAGCAGATAATCAGCAGTCACTACTGAGCAAATGAGTCCATGAGCCTAAGCGGAGGCTGGGAGTGAGCACGTGGTGTTGTGTGCAATGTGCGCACACCAGGGCACCCCTCTTGTTTTCCACTTTGTGCTCTCTCTTAAGTACATTTTACTCTCGTCTTCTAAGTGGCTCCTTTCTTGCAGCACTTTAAAACAATGTACTTTTTATTCCATCTTAAATAAAAATAAATCCAACAAGTTTTCCCTTGGACCTACCCTTAGTCCTCTCCCTCTCTAGCAAACTTCCTCAGGTAGGCTCCTTAAGATAGGTTCCTTAATTCTCATTCATTTATCACTGAAACTTGACTTCTAAGCCTAACCAACAGGGCAGCCCTGTCAATGTGCTGTCTGCAGGCCCACCTCCACCCTTCCATCTGACCCGGCACCTTCCTTCAACAAGTGGGATCATTGCCTTTTCTTCACAACCCTCTCCTTTCCCTTCACTTCTCTGACACCTACACTCTCCTGATTTTCCTACTAGGACTATGGTCGTGGTTTTGTAGAGAGACACTTTAAAGGTCCTAAACCTTTATCTTGTTCTTAATTGGGGGAGGAGGAGAGGTCACAGACACTTAAAAAGTTTCAAATTCACTGGACTTAAATATATAATGACTCCTCAGTCTCTTTTCCTGCCAGGCTTCAGACCTTTATCTCCAATTATTTGTTTAGCAGACAACTACATTTGATTTCCACAGAGACTGCTAACCCAAAACATCCAAGCTGATAATCTTTTCCAACCAAAATTACTTTCTCTAGTGTTCCTATCTTCTTAACTCGTTTACCTTACCATTCATCCAACTTCCCAGGAAGAAATCTTAGGTACTGTTTTCAACTACTCCCTCACTACCATTACCTAATCTAGCTCTAAAAATAAACCTCATTTTATCTTCCCAATATCTCTCAATTCTATCCTCTTTTTCTTCATTTCAAAAGTCAGTACTCACTATTGCCTCTCACCTAAACTACTGAAAGAGCTTGGTTAGTCCCTTTAACACTAGTCACATTCTTCAATCCATTCTTAGTGCAGCCAGTGTAATCAAAGCTAAAAGCGTATTTGAACACACCACTCCAGAATTTAAAAGCCTTTTCATGAGTCTCCCTGGTGTCCTAGGGATTAAGTCTCAGCACTATCACCACAACAGCCCACAATAGCGGCCTGAGTTTGTTCTCTGGCCAGGGAGCTGACCCACAGATGGCAGCAGACCTCTCCTGTCTTACTCGCTGCTCCCCTCAGCACTGTATTTCAATAAACCCACCTGCTCTGCTCCCCACTCAATCCTTAATGAATCCTCTCAACCCCACACCAGTTCTTCTATGCAAAAATGAAAAACAAAAACCCTTTCAATGGCTTCCCAATGACATATATAAAACTAAAATGCCTTCTATTGATTTGTAAATTCTCTTTGTTCTGTCCCCCACCTACTTCCAAACTCTCTTATGAACCCTACACCCCGCCCGCATTGTATTTCTTTTAATGCCTTGACTCTACAAACCTATGCCTTCAAGCACACTGCTATTTTATCCCACTTTAGCAGGTTCATTGTCACTCACCCTTCAGGTCTTGAACATCCTCCTTCCAGAATATACTGTTCTACATCGTCTATTTCCCCTAACATGACGCTCCTGACACTTTGCTGTATGGTCTATCTTGCTTACCACGAAATACCTGGCACCCAGCCAAGTGCATGGCACATAATTAAGAGTCACTAAATTTTTGCAAACATCTATTTATTATCTTCTCTACTAAAATTATCTGCTTAGCTCAGTCCTGGCCTCAGCATTCGTAAAGTTTAAAAATGAGAAAATGGGAATTGCTTGGTGCCTAGTACCTGGTGCCTCATGTAATGCTGTTGGAATGCATTGCCATTTTTGAAGACCTTCAAGCAATAAGGGCAGAGCAGATGCCGAGTATCCTCATGGATCATCCGAAAATGGACATCTACCTCAGAGTAGAGTGAGGAGCGATACTGACACACCTGAGTCACATAAGAAGGAAAATAAGCTAAGAGTGAAGTAAACAACTGAGGCCTTCAGAAAGGCAGCAACTAAAATGTTAAAATATGAATGAAGAATTTTTTACAAAATGAACAGAGATCAAATTATCTGACTTAGTAATACAGGCACATATTTATAAATTCAGCTAAGATAAAATGGGATAAGACAGGCCTCTCTGAGAATAACCCGAATTCTATGACTAAGAGGAATAAGGTTTCCTCTATCCATATCCAAAGGGTAAGTTCAAGACGCAAGTATTCCCCTCAGTACATGTAATGGTCCTTGACTGGGTACGTGTACATTCATCATGTTTTTCTCCTGTGTGGAAAATCCTGAACACAGAAACTGTGTTTACTATTTCTTCTATATTTCCTCAATGTTCCTAAAACTATGTGCAGTGGTATTCATCAGAGTTCATCAGTGAATTCTCTGTATTCATTCTGAGAGCTCAAGCTCCCTAGAGAAAAAGGCAATACCTGGCAAACATAAGGCATCTCTCCAGGTTTATGAGTATCCTTCATATGCTGGAGAAATAGTGGCTCACTCTCAAACGCCCACTCACAGATCTTGCACTTGGCTGTAAGAAAAAAATAATCAATAAATCCACCTGAAATTAAGACCAAAGTCCTATCGACTCATTCTTTTTTCCGACTCCTAACTTTCCACTTTTCAATACTCACTAAGCCACTTCTATCCTTTAAGATTTTTCTGGCTCATCATCTGGGCTCTGATAACAACTAATCTGATGTCTCTAGCTCAAACTTCCCATTAAAACTCCATTCTGGCTTTTGACCTATCTACCAAACATGTCAGATTGGATATTCTACCACCAACTTTAACATTCCTATTGTTTCAGTTCTCAGCTCCCCACCTTCTTCTGGACTTAGAGCCTAGCCACTGTTTCTGACTCCAAGCCCCTGGTTCTGTCATCATTTCAAATTATTTCAAAATTCATCTAGAAAATACCACTTCTTCATTCTCACAGGCAAAAGTCTGGCAGATACACATGATTTCCTACTGCTAATCAGCTGACTTCCAGTACCTATCTCTCTAGTAAATACTATCAATTCCTATATACCATTGTGAGGTGAATTCTAAAAATACTGCATTGTTTAATTCCTCTGCTCAAAGAGAGACAATTATTTTCTCCTATGAATAACTCAATGAACATTTACTGACCATCTAGTAAAAACAAAAATAAGAATCCACTCTCTAAAGACTGACAATCATGAACAAAGTTTGCCTTGTTTTCAATGACTTTGGCATTCACAGATTTGAGAAAATTAAATTTTGAAACTGTCCATTTTGTCAATTTGGGTACAATTCTTAATTTTCAATAAAAATCTTAATCACTACATATTTTAGCAAAATATGAAGTCGAAATAATAATGGTGATTTGTATTTTTCTTACTATCACTGAAGGTTTTTTCAAATTTTTACAAATTTGAAACTTTAAGCACACTAGGAACATTAACTCTTGCTCCCCCCAAAACAGAGAAGTATGGTTTATATAATTCTTTAATGTATAAGCCAAATAAAAACCAGGGATTCTTAACTGGGGGTCCATGGAACAGGGCTCAGGGAGCCCCTGTATCCCTAAAATTACAGGCAAAAAAATACATGTATTTTTCTGGGAAAGATTCTCAAGTTTTGTGTTTACTCTCAAAGGGATCTGTGAACCATTTAGGACCATCGCCTAGAGGTACACTGAGTACAACCAGGATACATATATATATTTTTTAATTCTGCCTAAAGGAATGAGAAAAAAATATAAATACATGAGATGAGCCTTGAAAAAAGAGCAGGGGTTTGCCAGACAGAGAAGGTAGGAGAACAGGAACAAAGGCATGGATGTATGAAAGTTTGGGAAACAGTAACGGCATGATGATATTTTCTCTTCTCTTTCTTACCTCTCAATTCAATTTGCTTATCTCCTTTTTTTTTTTTTTTTTTTTTAAAACACCTTTAAAAGCACTGGGGTTTTCCAACCTTCTTCCAAACCTTCCTATTCTATTTTACCATGGGCAATCTCAGGCAACCCCAAAGACTTCTTACATCCTATATGTCAATTGTACTGTTACAGCTGCCACAAACATCCATAGTAGTAACATTCATTAAACAACTTCTAATGTACAAACACCATGATAAAGTTTGTATGTAGTATTTATCTCATACCAAGAAAGTTAGTGAAACAGACACCTAAGACATCAATGAATTTGAGAGATTTCATAACTTTCAAACTTCTGTAGGGAAAGGAGCTGAAAGGGAAAAGATTCAAGAGAACTGATTCCCAAAGTGACAATCTCAACACTGTCCCTCCCAACACTATCACTTCCACCTCCTTAACATCTAACAGCCTCTTGAGAAAACAGGTGTGAACAAACACAGTTTCTGCTTCCTGTTCTCCAAGTTATGAAAGAACAGATGCCTGATGCCTTTCTAAGGTTCATTAATCCTCATCAGTTCATGTATACAAAGATTTTGTCAAGTCATTAGTTCTCCTGTGAGTCTTTTCCCAGATAGGATCCTCCCCCTGGTACCCAAATGAGCTACGCCCCCTGACACATCCTTTCTCAACTCTACCTTCTTAGTCTATTATCTTCACACAGTATAAAGAAAAACATACTGTTAAGGTTGTACTTTTACCATAATTAAACATAATTATCCATATAATCATTCATTTAAATACACACATCTAGTGTTTGGGAGATAATTCAGGAAACCTGAAAATAGACTAGGTATCAGATGATATTAAATATTGATGCTTAGTTCAGTTAGGTCTTGACAAAGATACTATGGTTATATATAAATAAGTGCTTATACAAATAAGTGCTTTTTTTTAGATACATCATAAAATAATTACTGATGAGGTGCCATTAAGTCATAATTTATTTTCAAAAAATACTTTATTTTTTTCTCAAAATTAGAAAGCAATGTATTCTAAAATATTGACATTAAAAATAAGCTACCTGTCAGGCAGGATCTGCTATAGGTGGAAAAATAAATAAACCAAGAATAAAAGTGATAAAAACTAAAGTATATGAAAGGTATCTTTTCTGATTGGAACAACTTTTTTGATCAGTATGAATTTTAAATCATAAGATACCAAAAATTAAGTCAGTGATAACAAGAGAAGATAGATACGGTTCTGCACTGTTGTTTCCCATAGGAAAAAACTTACTGTTCTAATGACTATATAGAAGTGGACTAACAAAAACCCACATACCAGCTTCTATATAAAATGGATTAGGTATTTTCAGTGAGTGGTGTTGGAGGAGAAGTGTTTATGTTGTTTGGGCTTTCCATCACTGAAAACTGAAGAATATGGGTTCTAACCTAACAAAGTTGGCTACTCTGCCATTACTCTGTAGTGTTATGATGACTGATTCCACTAGTCATTTTACTCCCAATTAACTATATTAGTGCAAAGTTCCATTGTTCAATATGGTAACAACTAGTTATATGCGATGGAAATCATCTGTTATCTGACAGGCTCAAATGAGATTTGAGTATAATACTCTAAACAAACTTCAAAAAATCTGTTTAATGGGAAGGAAAAAGAATGGTAACTACAGCTCATTAATTTAAAATTTCTGATTACATGCTGAAATGACAACATTTAGAATATACTGAGTTAAATAAAATACTTACATTAATTCCAACCTTTTCATGTCTTTTCTTAAAATAGCCATTAAATTACAAAATTTCATATTCAGCTCATACTGTATTTCTACAGACCAGGACTAGTCTAAGTTACTAAGACCAAGGGCAAGGAGATACAAAATATAGCAATTCTACTTTGTATGAAAGATTCAGGAAAGGCAGAGGAAGACTTGATTTCTTTTTCTACATAGCACTGTATCTGAATGTAATGCCTGAGACTAACAAAGCCATCCAGTCACCCAAAGAGACTGTTTAAAAGCAGAACATTTAAGTTCTTGGCTTTAAGATCACTCTATCTCAAGTTCACTCACTTAAGTGACATAAATAAGTATCTTTAGTGTTTTAACAATTCATTTCTAGTCAAGGTATTTAAACTGTAGCAAAAGCATCCAGACAACAACCATATTTCTGTCCTTAACTGTTCACTTATGCTTTCCCATCACTTAGAAGTTTTTCTTACAACTTTCCATCCATCTAAATTCTGTTGTATTTAAAGACCCTAAAAATGTAAGCATTACTTTCTAAGAAATGTGGCCACAAGGATCTTTCCCCTGCTCTGAACTACTGCAACTATTTACACAATGCATATATTTATAATAAATACACAGTCATGTTCTCACATTCTCTGGTCTCTTCATACTAAAAATCTTTTAAAGAACACAGGAAATATTCTAAAGTTTAACTTTCTTAAGGTGTATATACTCTTAATCAAATGATTTAATTTTTCTGAGCTCATGTTCTATAAGATGAACAGTGGAGAAAACACTACAAAATTCCTATTTCAACAGAAGCAGCCTGAATGGTAAAACACTTTTTAGTAAGTCCTGAGAGAACAGCAATATCTAGGTAATAATTCCATTACGTTGATCTCTCTCTACAGTGGTCTTAAACCAAAGTCCCTAATGATTCAGGATCTAGCACTGAACTCAATTCATGTTTGAACAGTACAGAAGTGAGGTTTGTAAGAAAATAAAGTGAAGTAAGGAATTGACTGCAAATATACAAAGAACTTCATCTACGTTGTTACCCACGTATAAATATAATGGGCTCCCTTTAATGCTGTTCAATGAATGAAGAGCAAAGTATACCCCTAGAGTTCAAGAGTTTCCAAACTTACTAGTCGATTCATAGGGACTATGAACATTTTCCAAGTGGCACTGGAGCTGGAAGGGAGTGGAAAACTGACGATAACAGTGTTGGCAGATAGTATGACCATCCACCTCACCATTCTGCTGATCGAGTTCTACGTGATGTTTCATATGGTTCATGAATCTGTAAGCACAGCACAAAGGGAAAGTACAGAAAACATAAAAAAAACCCAGTAGCCTTGGATAAAATAACAGCAGAATCACAGAACAGATATTACCTGCTCTTCCAATTTCCTCACTTGGGAAAATGCTTTTCTGAGCCCAAAGAGGGTTTCTTAAAACTAAGAAGGTTCTGTGAAGCACTGGTCTCCCTTACTCTACTCAAGTTATCTTTTATTACCATAATGCCTGTCTATAGTACTAGCTATTGATTTAATGGTAATGCTTAGCAAGACTAGAAAATAGGACCATCTCAAAGAGAAAGACTTAAACATGTAAGAGATTTCAGTCTTCTCTTCTCCAAGATAACCTCCAAGACTCCTCAGCACTTACCGAATATTGTTTTTTAGCCTTTTGGTACAATGTGGGCATCGGAAAGATGTGGCGACCTTTGGGAAGCTTGTGAGTTGGGCTACTTTGCCCCCATCCCGTCCGTAGTAAAAGTCATCTACTAGCATAATGAGCTTGGTCTGGACCGCATCACCCACATTCTCATTTGGCTCTTGTGCTTTGGTAGGTGGTGACAGAGCAGGAATAGGTGTAGAAGAGGGTGTGGAAGCTACAGGAGCTGTTTTCTCAGGAGACGGTGGCTTTGCTGTTGATGGGATGTTGGGTTCTGAATCCAGAGATTTTCCTTTCTTCTGGTATTCAACCATTTCTGGGCAACAGTACTACAAAGAAAGAAGACATCTGATAATTCTGGTCATCGTAGGGCCCAGGATGTAATTCTCCAAACTTCACTAACATTCCTTAGTAATGGTTTCCTCCTAATTATTCTCATGCAATTATCACCCTGAGGTCACTAATCTTTCCAAGTGTCATTCTATTTTCTTTGTCTATTTACAGACACATGCAATCTAAATACAATACCTTACACTTCTCTTCTGCTTCAGACCCTTTAACCACTTACTAGCTTAACTTGTCTCTTAGCCGCCTGGCAGAAGAAGTGCCAACCTTTCTTTTTGGACAAATACCAAAAATAAAAAGGCTACAAATGGGAACTGGTTAACAGCTCCTGACTCATAGGAAATGACCAGAGGCCAAATTGGATTAAGTCTGAATTATCCAACAAACCTGTCTCCCAATGCAGTGTCAAAATGCAGCACAGCTAATATATAAATTTTAATTACTGTTTTTACTTAACAGTCATCCTAATGGGTGTGAAGTAGTATGTATATTGTTTCAATATACTTGAGAGCTTTTAAATGTCTTATCATATTCTAGAGTACCTCACTATTCTAAAAGAAGCCAAAATAATGAGCAACCCTTTAAAAACGCAACTAAGTTATTTTAGAGGCATCCCTGCTTCACAGGTTTCCATTTCTACAGGAGGGATACAACGGTAGTCAGTTAAGCTAGCTCCCCATCACAGGTGCTATCACTTACACACATGTGACCTCTCAAAGCTTCAGTAATACGGAATTGAGCGTTACACCGTGGACATACTTTCCGCCCACCATCCTGAAGGTCAAACACTGGGATGGAAGAGGTCACTGAAAGAAGTGAGAAGGATTGATAAGACTGACAAGATGATAACAGAAAATAATACTGGCCTTGAACAGCTTATCAAGATTGGTAAGCAAGCATGAGTGTTCACTATAAGGCACATGTCTTTTACTGTTCTCACTCTAGGTCAGGGGTCAGCAAATTACAGCTTATGACCAAATTCAGCCAGTTTGTGGTTTCTGTTTGGCCCACAGGCTAAGAATGGTGCTTATTTTGTTGTTGATAGGTAATTCTTTGTGAATGTATGTATGTATAAATGTATACACACACACAAAGTTTACCTCAACCATTCTCATGTAAAGTTTTGTTGAGTACATTTACAGTGAAGTAGAAGCAACCTCCAGCATTCTTACCCTGCAAAACAAACTCTTATACCCATTAAATAACAATTCCCCATTTCTCCTCCCTCCTAATTCCTGGTAACTAACATCCTATTTTCTGTACTAATTTCACTGCTACAGATAATAGTTAAGTGGACTCATATAGTATGTTTTCTTTCATAGTTGGATTATTTTATGTCCTTAAGATTCATGAATGTTCTAGTGTTGTAGAATAGGTCAGAATAACCTTACAAGGCTTAATAAACTACTATATGCATATAACACATTTTGTTTACCCATTTACTATTTAGTGGGCATAAACAATGATTCCACCTTCTGGTTATTGTGAATAATAATGCTATGAATGTAAGTGTACAAATATCTTTTCAGGTACTTATTCTCCCTACCTCTGCCTATAGAGCTGTAGAATTGCTGGATCATGTATAATCCAGCAATTATAATCCAGCAAAAAAATGACAGCCCCAAAAATGTCTCATTGTTTGGGACTATCATACCATTTTACATTCCCACAAGTAATCCACAGGGGTTCCTATTTTTCCACATCCTCACTAATACTTGTTATTTTTCTCTGTTTTTTTTTTTTAGGTAACAGCCATCCTAGTAGGTGTGTAGTATCTTATTATGATTTTGATTTGTATTTCCCCAATAATTAGTGGCGTCTGTGCCTTTTCTCATGTGTTTAACATCCATTTGTATATATTCTTTGGAGAAGTGTTTATTTAATTCCTTTGGTGACCACTTTAAGGGTTTTTTCATCGTTGTTGAGTTATTGACATTCTTTATAGACACTAGATATTAACCCTTTACTAGATATGATTTGCAAATATTTTCTACCATTTGTTATCACTGTATTTTCAATGTCTCTTGTTGCACTCAAACTTTAAATTTCTATGTACTATTTCTATTTTCTATTTTTCTTTTGCTGCCCGTGCATTTGGGATCACACATAAGATGTCACTGCAAAATCCCATGGCATGAAGCTTACCTTTATGCTTTCATCTAAGAATTGTATAGCTCTAGCTCTTATGTTTAGGTCTTTGAATTCAATGAGTTAATTTTCATAACAGTGTTTGATACAGGTCCAACTTCATTTGCTTGTGGATAGTCAATTTTCTGAATACTGTTTATTAAAGTGTCTATACTGTTAAATGACTGCAATAAAAATAAAATATAAAATTTTTCTGACATATGAAATTAAAATCTCAAACTATCTAAATAGTTTAGTGGCACAGAGTCATGATCACTTACTCACTGTCTGTAGCTGCCTATACCACAATGGCAGAGTAGGGAAGTTGTGACTGAGACCATATTATGCAGAAAGCCTAAAATATTTACATTCTGGCTCCTTATAGAAAGTTTGCTGACCCCTGCTCTAGGCTGTTTATAATCCTTACATGCTTATATTCTTCTATAAGCCTGAAAAACTCTTCACCACATCCTAACTTTAGAACTTTATTCAGAAATCCATCTCTTCCATGAAACATCTTTTTGATTATCCCACCCATCTCTGACCAATCCATTTCATAATCTCCAAAGCACAATTACACACAGAATTCCTTGAAGCTGATTCAATAACACTTTACAAGTAGCTATCCCATTTACTACAGTAAAGTTTCTTAAAAACAGATTATAGCAACTATGTTCTATTTCACAGCACAGAGTTCTGATACAACAATTACTTTACTAGGGATTTTAAATAACTGGCTCCTCATTTAAAATTTGTGTACCTTTCATTGAAGACTCAGGTCCGCTGGATCTTTGAGAGCCATGGGGAGAGTTGTTGTTGGATACCACCACTGGCCCAGGACTCTGGCCCAGGGAAGGGATGGTGTTAAGGGTATTCACCAGTTTGGCCACTTCATTGCTATTTTCACCTGTAACCCCAGGTCGCTTCACAGTGACAAAGCTGGCAATGCTCACTGCAGGTGGAGAGGGGAAGGAGGGAGCTATGTTTGCCAAGTGATAATCATCTGCTCTCCACCCACCACCCCCCCAGTTCTGCCATCAACTCTTCCCAAGCCTCACCTAACTTGGGATTTGGGGTCTGGTTGGATTGGCCTGGAGGTGGAACAGCTAGTTGCCCCAATGAGGTCGGTTGTGTGGCAGTAGGAGTGGTGGAAGTGCTGGGAGTGGACTTGGTCTGCTGGGACTGGGACTGTGGGACGGTGCTTCGAATGGTGAGAGTGGCTGGGATGACGGTGGTGAAGGTGTTGGTGGTGGGTCGCACAGGCATTGTGGAGCCTGGCCTCACTGGGGTCATCTGAGAGAACACCTGTGGGACTCCAACTGTTGGTTTAACAAACTGGGTACCTGGGGCTTCAAAAGAGAGACAGAAAAGTACCAAATCTTGGTCAATGAGCTCACCTACAATACAGTCCTCTTGTCTCTACTGCAAATTCTGGAATAGGAAAAGATTATTTCCCCAAACTGATTGGTGACCATCAGAGGTTACCAAGAATAGCACAAGTTGTAATATCTAAGACAGCAATAGATGTCCAAGCTGATAAAGAAATTAGCCTAGGTAACCAACCCAAAAAGAAAGAAGACTCCCATCAACACCTTACCACTGCCTTTTCTATCCCAAGAAGATAATCATAGTATCCTGACCTTAGAAGAGAAAGGGTAGGTCTAGAAAGGGAGGCAGTATGTCTGTACAGAAGTCAGTGAGCAGACCTGGTACTGAAAAAGTGATCCCTTCCACTACAAATAGAATCTTCCATTCTCATATACTATCATTCTGATCCGATATCCCAAAGAAGAGACTCTCTGACTCAGCTATAGACAATTCCACTGACAAATTTGAAGAACTGTCAGAATTAGATACAATAAGCTCATCAGACTAGAGGCCAAAAATTACTCTGTGGGCTCTGAGAACAACAAAAACTTAGAAAGTTAAGTTATAGAAATACCCTTACAACTAAATTAAGATACTCCTTTTTTGGCCTGAATTTATTATAATAAATAAAGATCTGGGGGGGATAAGATTTTTTTTATTATTATTATTTTTCAATTCAGTGTCTTAAAAAAAATTTAGTCATTGGTAATACTTATCTTCAAAGGGTATATCATTAGCTTCATTTATATCCAAAATCTATGCTATAAAATTTAAGCAAAATAAAGCTTATAATCCCACCATGTAAGTGAGTAGGCTTAAAAGGAATATGGAATTTGGATATGTGCATTAATAATATCCCTCCAGAACAACAAATTTAACAGCTAGTTAAAACACCAGAAATAGAAAAATGACTACATAAACCATGTTTTACTACCTCATGAAGGGTGGTAAAAGTTAATAATATATATAAAACTACCACCCTGGCCAAAGGTTAGAGACAGTTTTTGGTTTTTTTTTTTTTAACTGGGCTTGAATCAATATGATTTTTAGGTTTTTTTAATGACCTAAACTTTTAAAGTGACCTAGAATATTTTGAGACAATAAAAACAAATCTTCTGGATGCCAGTTTATTCCAAATGGATAGACATTTTTCCTTACCTGGGACTAGTGTAATTGGTCTAACCGTTTGGCCTTGCTGTACGTTCAGCACAATCCCAACCTGATTCATTGCATTTTGTACAGGCCGGACATTTCTTACAGGAAATCCCTGCATTAAAAAGCAAAATGATCTTTAACATGGAGATCAGCTAACACTAGCAGAAACTGCAGTGAGACAGACCTATGTCCAAAAAAGTTCCCACATTCTTACCTAGTACTTCTGTCTCTAGAGTTACAGCTTTTAAATGACTAAGATGGAAATTTTAGAAATTGTGGCAAACTTTTGAGTGACAAAATATCAAAACTGGAGAATAAGCTCTGGTCCATGTGAGCAAAAATGAAAACCTACTTCTTTTCTTAAGAGACCTTAGCTTAAAAACCTGTCCACAGACTGGGTCCTAAACTGCTAAAAGCATAGAAGGAAAAAAAATGAACTAACAGTATTCACTAGAGTGATTCGACATACAAACAATTGTAAGAAATTGTTCCCAAAGTCCACTTCAAAGGCCATAAACCTCTGACAAATTTTAGGAGAGGAGTTTGTAACTCAGGAAGCCATAGACAGGCAAAGAAAAGCATTTGCTTTTCTATTTCATATTAGGCTTTCAACATCGATTCACATTATATATCAAATAAACACCTTCTTTCTCTTCTAAAGAACTCCCTGTATTTTACCAATTTCATGTGATTTCAGAAGTCAACTAGCTCACCCCCATTTTAAGAAAAATAACCCAATGCAAAGGGCAAGAAGCCTTGAGAGCCAAGTGTTAATTAAGGCTTCTTAATCCAAGTTTTCGCAGAAATTTCTGTCCAGACTTCAATCAAGTCACTTAGTAGCCCTCTATTGGAGCACAAAGAGGAAAATTAGACAGCTGTATACTGGTTTTGGGATTTCTACAACAGTCATCACATCAAATTACAAAACAGTAAATGAGAAAGTCAGGTTCTGTCTTTTGAGAGGACTTAGAACTATTTCTAATGATGCTAAAGAGATTATGTCAGAGCCTCCATTCTCTCCTTCTCTATCAAGGGTCAAAAATCAAAGTCCCACTCACCTGTGTAGTGATGAATATTGGTTGTGAGGCCACAGGAGAACTCGTCACATGATTGGCATTCTGCATGACCTGGACAGGCCTCAATACTGGTTGAGTAACCATTGTGCCCAGACCTGGGGTTGGATTCTGGGTTAAGATGAGCGGCTGTCCACCTTGTTGGACCAAGGAATTGCCAGCTAAAGGGTAAAAGGGAAGGGGGGGAGAAAAGGATTATAAGAGAAAACAAACCCACATTTCCTACGAATCATTTTTTAGATAAAAAAATGGTGTTCCATATATCAAAACATACAAGATTCACTCACCTCAGGTTTAATGTCACCAAACTCACCCAAAATTTAAGCTTCACCCAAATCTACAACTAACAAAAAAATAAGGGAGGTTCACTAACATCTCCCCCAAACATTTTTACTGGTTATGTCTTAACACATTGAGACCTCTACATGGCCATCACTTTGACTCTGATGGTTTAAGTGACCACATATAACCATAACAACAACTTAATGTAGCATGAAGTTTTTACCCATATTTTAGCTACCTATTTTGTTAGAATAATTTGTTAATTGAGCCTCTTATTTTTTTTAAAAAAGGAATACTCATCAACAAACATTAACTCAGTAAGGACACAGAACCTAAAGAAAGACATCTCATCCTAGTGAGTAAAATCTCAGAAATACAACAATTACGATAATACAACCACTGTCTTGTATAGGTATGGGAATGCAGAGAATAACAGGCTATCTTCTTAATCTTTGTATCTTCAAGAATTAATAAAGGAAAGACCTGGTCAAAAACCAACCAACAGCAAGGAGAAATTATGTGAATTAAAATATAATGACTTAATTATGAATATTAGTAAATATCAATAAACAAGGGTATTACAATATTAAAAATTATTTTTCATTTGTGAGGAAAATAATTTTGAAAAAAAATTTAGCCCCTATTTACTATAGTTGGCCCAAAAATAAAGAAAAATCATTAATACTAAGTTTCCTGATTTATGAAGAATACTCCACAACCAGACAAAAAAATTCAGAGCCAATATACATGAGCAAAAAAAATTCAAGCAAAATAATGCCTCAACTTTTTAATTCAAATCATCAGAATGGGATGAACTCTTATGAACTACACGTTCCATTTGAGTCACTGCAATTAGCCACAAAGCTAGATTGCCAGATAGATTACCTATTAAGGGGCAAACATAGTTTATCCCCCATTCTCCCAGAAATCAAGATCCATCAGTGGATCAGACCCTCAGAGTTACTGAATCAGCAGACTGGTGATTACAGAGGTTGACAAAAGATTGATCGATCCGTCCATCTGCATCTAAACCACGATAATGAACACCCAATTTACCCATAATCTAGCTTTAACAACTATAAACTTACAGCCAACTTTGTTTCACCCGTTATTTCCCACCTATCTATCAGTTCCCATGTTATTCTGATACAAGTACCAGATCTTATCAATATCACTTCATCTATAGGTATATTTCAATCTATGTCTTTACAAGAACTTTTTAAAAAAGAGACTATCAATAGCATTATCATTCCTAAAAATCAAAATAATCCTATGACTATAGCTGATAATTCAAATTTTCTAATAAAGCAGAACTTAAATATTCTCACTTAGCCCCTTAAAAAATAAGATCTGTGAAGTGACAAATATTAATTAACAAGGAGGTGGTAATCTTTGTAATGCAATGTATATCAATCCACCATAGTGTACGCTTCAAATATTTTACAATTCCATTGTCAAATATACTTCAATAAAGTTAAATATATCACTAATTCTCTAGACTATCAAATACCAAGCAGAAATCAAGAGATGTATGGACTATTACCTGTATTTTAAAAAATTTTTGAATCCAGTTACAAAAGAGGTGACAAAGTGCAAGTGATAGACATACATCTCAAATCTCTTTTAATCTATAAAGCTTCCTATCCATCTCTTTTTACCCCTTTGCAATTTATGGTTGGAATACAGTAAATGAATGTATGTATTTCCTATTCATTATTTTAGCTGCTGCAGTAAAAAAAAATAAATCATGTTATTGATCTAAGCCTAAAATTTCCAAAGGTATCATTGAATCAACATCCCAAATTAAATATAGGAAGGAAAAGATGGAAATTTTTTTACATATGTATGAAATCAACCAGCACTGGCTAGTCTGGAGAGACAGGCCAGTCCCCCATGAAATCTGCACATATTCTGTAATGAAGATTGTAAACACAAGCATTTTCTGCAAATATTCTGACAATAGGGTCATTATTTGATTTTTAGTGGAATGCTTAGGGCTTTTCTAAAACACACAATGCAAACAAAAAGATGAGCTTCTAAGTCCAGGTTATGTTTACAATTCAAATAAAAGCAGAGGCCAGCATGTGATAAGTCACATTGGATTAACTAATGTATACTTGTTTACTACTTTTAATTATTCATAATGAATAATTTGAATGACTTCCTAGAATAATTCCAACAAAGTCTAATAATTCTAATGAATGCTTAATTTTTTTAAAGATTTATTTATTCATACAGAACTGGGGTACAGGCCAGAGGTGTGGGGGCAGTGAGAGGATTCATCAGAGACAGAGTGGGGAGCAGAACAGGCCGACTGATGAGGAACACTGCTGAGGGTAGCAGCAGGCAGGTCAGGAGAGGTCTGCCACGCCATGTGGATCACCTCCAGGGCAGGCGGGGATGAACTCATGTGGAAGTAGCTTTAGCTTCTTAGTGCTGTGCAGCAAGGGCCCACCAGCAAGGGCCCTGAATGATTAATTTTTAATGATTTTTTTTACATTCAAAGTCTCTCCTCAAAGAAATTTTGACAGGTTTTAAAAGAAATATCCAACCAATCCCCTGCGCCTTTGTTTACTCTGAGTTTATGTGATAGCCATAACTGATTAAATAAAGGAAGGAGATTCAACAGCTTCTGTCACAGCATACTGTTTCACAAACCTAGAGGTTGTGATTGTAAAGATTCATTTATTTATGCATACTGAATTGGGGTACAAGTCAGAGGTGCCGGGTGGTGAGAAGATTCACCAGAGACAGAGTTGGGAACAGAACAAGCAGATCGATGAAGTAGCACTGCAGAGGGGAGTAGTGGGTGGGTCAGGAGAGGTTTGCAGGCCACGCAGGTCACCTTGGGGCTAGGGATGGAACTCACACTGAAACTGCTGCAGCTAGCTTGCAGTGCTGTATCCTAACCCTTTGTGCCAATGCATGATTGTGATTTTTTCCTTCATTCTTTTACATTTACTTACACAGCTAAGAGATAGGGCCCTCCCTGGTGGCTCAGCGGGTTAAAGCACTGCATTAAGAAGCTTAAGCCACTTCCGCATGCCTGCCCCGGGAGGTGGCCACATGGTGGCAGACCTCTCCTGACCTGCCCTCTGTTCCCCTCAGTGGTGTGTTTCATCGATCTGCCTATTCTGCTCCCCACTCTGTCCCTGGTGAATCCTCTCACCCTCTGCATCTCTGGCCTGTGCCCCAATTCTGTGTGAATAAATAAAAAAATCTTTAAAAAAAAAAAAAACCCAGAGATAAGAGGGATAAATAAACTTGAAATGTTGGTAAACAGGAGTTGAAAACTAGTTAAGTTATACACTAAGAAATTTGTAACATTAAATTCACTATATTCACAGCTCAGAATTAAGCACTACTTTGCTTTACAATGTTTCTTTCTAATGCAAACATATGATCAGAGAAAAATACAGGAACAATTTTCAAATTATGAGCGGTAGATTCTAAGGAACAACAAAAAGAAAAGTAAATATGTTCAGGAGGGAAAGTTTCCTCCTGAAACTTTCTTAAAAAGAAAAAAATTAAAATTTGATTCACATGCCTATCAAAGTGTACAATTCAGTTTTTGGTATCTTCACAATGTCTATTCCACCATCACCACTTATTACAAAATATTTTTATCACCCCAAAAAGAAGCCTTGTTAAACTGCTAACATTTATTCCTTGATCTGCTTCCCAGACCTGGCAACCACAAATCTAATTTCTAACTCTGTAGATCTGCCTATGCTGGACATTGCATTATTATGGGAGTCACTTAGCATGAGACCTTCATATCTAATTTACTTTAGTATTAAATTTTCAAAGTTCATTCCTTTGTATCAATTATTTCATTCCTTTTATGGCCTAATCATATTCTACTGTATAGATACAAAAAAATTGTCTATCCATTCAACAACTTAGTTTGCTGCATTTTTTTTTGTTTTTTGGCTACAATGAAAAATGCTGCTGTGAACAATTGTGCACAAGATTTTGAATGAACACATGCTTTCAATTCCACTGGGTATATAACTAAGAGTAAAATTGCTGGGTAATATAATTCTGTTTAATTTTTAGAGAAACTGCCCAAATTAGTTTTCAAAGTAAAAAAAAATATACAATTCTCACCAGCAGTTTATGAGAGTTCCATCTTCTCCACATTCTTACCAACACTTATCCATCATTTTTTCATAACCACCCTAGTGGGGGTGAAGTGGACTTTAATTACTATGTTTACTTTTTTTAATTTATTCATGCATACAAGAATTAGGGTACAGGGGGTGAGAAGATTCACCAGAGCCAGAGTGGGGAACGGAACAGGTAGACGGTCTGAGGTACACTGCTGAGGGAGCAACGGGCAGGACAGCAGAGATATGGCTCACCATCTCAAACTCAAAAACTGAACTCGTGCTGCAGTGGCTGCAGATAGCTCCACAGTGCTGTGCTTTAATGCTTTGCGCCACAGGGAGGGCGCTACTGTGTTTTTATTATTGAAGTACAGTAGGTCTTTATATACATTATAAAATAGATGTTCCTCCATTTATGATGAGATTACATACCAATAAACCCATCATAAAACTGAAAATACCATAGGTTAAAAATGTATTTAAGATACCTAGACTACTGATCATCATACTTAGCCTAACCTATCAAAAACATGCCAAAATGCTTACATTAGCCTACAGTTTGGCAAAATCACCTAATACAAAGTTTATTTTATAATAATTTGACTATCTCATTGAATACTGTACATTGCACAACATCAGTTATTTATCTTGGGATCATCTGGCTAGCTTAGGAAAAGATCAAAATTCAAAACTTGAAGTACAGTTACTATTGAATCCATATCACTTTTGTACTAACAGAAAGTTGAAAAATCTTGCGTGGCAGTATATGCATTTGCAATCTTTTTCTCCCATTCACTGGGCTCTGATTTCCCTTCCTTGATTATGCCCTTTTAAGTATAAAACATTTTCCTTTTTGTCAAGTCAAATATATTCATTTTTTTTCTGTGGTTATTTATGCTTCTGGAATCCCACCTAAGAAATCATTGCCTAAATTAATATCATAAGGACTTAGATCCCACGAGAAAGGGTATGAATCTATTCCCCACAGTACTGTAAACCAATGCTATCCTCAGCAGAAAAAGAAAAACAAGACATACCTATATTTGCATATAAGAACTTTACAGTTTTGGTTCTTACAGTTATGTTATTTACTGTTAATATTTGTATATGGTGAGAGGTAGGGGCACTTTATCAACTCTTCACATATGGAAATAGTACCTACCTGTTTGTCTTTCTCTGACACACACACTTTTTTTTTTAACCAACTATCATTCTTCATGGAACAACAGGAATTTTACAGTATAGGAAAAAAAAACTGTTATCTACTCCACTCCCTCCAATCCATTCATTCTTTTAAGATATCATTCTCTCTTTTTTTTAAGATTTTATTTATGCATACAGAACTGAGGTACAGGTCAGAGATGCAGGGGCCATGAGAGAATTCACTAAAGACAGAGTGGAGAGCAGAACAGGCAGATAGACGAGGTACACTGCTGAGGGGAGCAATGGTCTGTCCTGCCATGTGGATCACCTCCAAGGCCAGGGATCAAATGCACTAAAGAGGCCACGGCCAGCTTTGTAGTGCTGCGCTTCAACCCGCTGAGCCACCAGGGAGGGCCCTAATTTGTCTTTATCTTAATCATGTTTTAACATCTTATCCACATAAAATATTACATAAATTTAAGTGCTAAAGTATAAGCATAAACACTTGAATCCAACACCCAGTTTAGGTCTGAGCCAATACAACACTGCTGATGGCTCCTACTCACTCCATCTCTTGCTTTCCTTCCACAAGTATAAAAATGTTTCTTAAAAGCAAGACTTTTTACGTAGAGAGGGGCAAAGAAAATAAAACAGATAAATTATCAATGCCAAATCAATGTCCCCAAATGGGCAACCTTATAAATAATTATTGGAAGAGATAGCTACTGTTAACCAGGAGCAAGGTTGTTTTTAAAAACGATTTAAAAGAAGGATGGGGGGGTAACTTTTTAACTTTCTAAAATGTCTAGTACACTAAACAAAACAAAACTGAAATGCTTAGAAGTTATTCTTCCTTGCTATGTCATTCATGCAGTAAGTGGAATATATATCCATACAATTAAGCTGAAGGTTTACAAGCCTGGATTATAAAAGATAATGACCATATTTTATTTGTTCTATTCTGAAGCCTTATCCTATAGGTAAGCTGGCATTTCAAGAATACAAAGTTATACTCAAGATTAAAACATTGCAGAATTGTATGTATTATATAAAATAAATAAAACAGGCTAGACAAATTAGACCAATTAATGCATGCATGGAAACTTTTTAGAAAAACACTAAGATATATGTAACCTTGGTTACCAGTTTATAACCATTTTTTTAAACAGGAACAAGGGCTAATTTTTTTTTTTTAAATATTTATTTGTTCACAGGCCAGAGGCTCAGGGGTGGCGAGAGGCTTCACCAGAGACAGAGTGGGGAGCAGAACAGGCAGATCGACGAAGTACACTGCTGAGGGGAGCAGCAGGCGGGTCAGGAGAGGTCTGCCACGCCATGTGGTCACCTCTGGGGCAGGCGGGAATCGAACTCATGCGGAAGCGGCTTTAGATTCTCAGTGCTGTGCTTTAACCCGCTGCGCCACCAGGGAGGGCCCAAGGGCTAATATTTTAACTTGAATATTAGAGGCTTTTGAAAGAAGTAAGATCAATTTGTTTATTAGAATGTTTGTACACCAGCCTGGAATCAAAGGTTCAGCATTCAAGGATTCAAGGACAGTAGGTCATGTCAACATGCCATGAGATGCTTACTCATAGAGGGTCTTGGAACCCTGAGATCAAAGAAAAATTTAGCTTTGCACACAAGAAAACAATAAAATACAGTAAAAAGACCTCAAGTTTTGAAGTCCAGAACATTCAAACCTAGTTTAGTCACTTACCAACTATTTAACCTTAGGATTATTTATAGGATACTAAGAAATTACCACATCTGTAAAATGAGAGGATTCTCCCAAAAAAAAAAAAAGAGGATTCTCTAGATACTTGTTTCCTCCTCTTCATATATATAATGCTCCTCATTTAAAAGTTTATAAAAATTGTAAGGATTTTCTATGTATTAAAAGTTTTGTTTAGTATTTAAAAAGTTAAATTACCTATGGAAATTATAAAGATTTAACATTGATAATACTTAAAAGTTGGCAACAATATGTGGAAAGAGCTACTGGTAGGCATTTATTTAGAGCAATCTATGAGAGCAATTTGATACTTATCTATCAAATTTTAAGTCCCTGACTCAGCTATCTCACTTTATAATGCAGCTTAGACAGTGAGCATAGACAATGCCTAAGATGTTCGCTAAACATCTTAGCACTGTTCATAAACAAACATACACACACCCAAAAAAAAAAAAAAAAAAACAAGATTAAAATAACATGTAACAATAGGGTAACAATAAAGCTTATAACCCAAAATAAGAACATCATGTGTTTTTAATGGCAATATAAACTGACATAACACTCGGTCATAAAGTGCTACAGATATTTATTACAATGAGAAAATATTCACTGTATGTTAAGAATATAAAGCAGACAGAATGAATGTGGCATTTGTATGATCCACTTTTGTAAAAAGTCAGCCACTACATGTAGCATAAAGAAATATATAGAAGTACATACACGTTCAGAGTTAAGAGTTATAGTTACAGTTAAAGCTTTTCTCTTCCTTTTATCTTTTACTATTTTTTTCTACAATCCACATATTATTCTTATATTAATAAAGCTATTTTAAAGGAAATACAATAATCAAAAATAGTCTTTTTCTCCCTTTATTATTTATGGTTAATTTTTTTCCTACAATGCACATATTATTCCTGTATTAATAAAACTATTTTTTAAATAGAATTAAAACCAGTCCTTTGAAGCAATGCAATAATTCTATGAAAGTACTAATTCTAGTTATAAATCTTGTGCCATAACTTGCCAATAACTCAGCTTCAGAGGATAGAAACAGTCATCAGAAATGACATAGAAACCATAGCCTCCCTAGCCAATAAATACACTGAAACCACTTTCACCATGTCCTTCAGGTAGACAACATCTCTATATCCAAGTTTCCATTCCCAAGAACCAAATAAAAACTGCCAGAGAAAATATAGAACAAAGCTGCCTTAGGAGAATTCTTACCAAACTAGTGGGGCCCTTCCAATTGAAAAACAAAAACAAAAGACCCAGATCTCTTAAACAGTTAGGAATTTTGGGTTTATATTTGCTCTCCTAGAAATTATCAGCAGCAAAAAATCAATTGCCCTGACTTTAAACACCAACACAAATTCAGCACTACCTCAGATAGAACATCACCACCTATTAAATCATTTCCATCTCAGATAATCATTACTAAAGTCACTCATCAACTAGCAGAGCCAGTCCAGTACCTAAAGCGAAACATGCACATCTGCTCCTAAAGCCCTTTTTATTCTCTACCCCTCTAGCCCAGGAAAAATTTCCCAATAATCCCACTTACCATTGTTGTTGGCAATTAGTGTGACAAGAGTCTTCTTTGTACTGTCGCTGTTCTGTGCCCCGCTGCTACTAACGGTGGTGGATGTAGAGAGGTGCCCAGCCACAGAAGCATGGGCAGCGATGGGCACTGGAGCCGAGACTGGCTGCTGGCTCACAGAAACTGTGGGGAAGGGGAGGCACAGTCACTTGGAGACAGGGACAGATGACACTAAAGGATACTGTTCTGATCTTCCCTTTTCATCTTTTGTGAGTCTATACAGCCAAAACATTTCCTACTTCATTAGTAAATCCAACTGTTCATCTGATTCTCCTCCTACTTGCCCCTTACTGCACCAATTAGACACAATGCCTTCTTTGTCTCACATTTTCTGGTTAATTTAGATCATAAACTCACTCCACCAGGATTTTAATATTTTGCTTATACAGTAGCACAAGCAAACTTCTAGGACTCAAAAGTTTATTTCACCACAACTATTATTCATTACCATGCATAGTAAGCCATCCACAAGAACCTGAACTGTATCCTGTTACTGCCCAAAGCAATGCCATCATCAGGTCTCAAAGCAGCAAAGATTTTAATAAAAGAGAGAAAGAAAACAACAGATAAGAAACACACTTTCTGAATTCAGGGCAAATGAGAATTTGACCCTGCAACATCACCTTTTTAAGAGAGAAGCTAATAAATCTAAGATTACAAACTGTCCATGAAGGCAAACACAAAGCAAATTCTGCTCAACTCACAAAGGAAACCAAGTTCAAGTAAAACAAACAAGTCGAAACTGTTTTGACGGGCTCTAAACGAGCACTGACACACAGCACCACTCTGCACTCTGGTTCATACACCATTTGGTAGGAGATCTGATGGACACATGATAAACACTGGTTAATCCAACAACTCTCAATGTTTTTAATGAGTTAAAAAATAGTGTTTCTAGCTTTCTGGAAAGAAAAATCAAGGCACTTACTAAAGCATGGCTGGGAAAGGTAGCACCAAGGCCCTAAGGGAGCAACACTGGATTCTTAAAAGTCCTTCTTCACCACACTTTAACAAAAAAGCCATCCAACTGAATCAAATTAAATAAGCTAAGTTCAAAAGAGTTGTTACCTGTATTAGTTTTATCCACTGAATTATAATCTTCAACTACAGAATCCTCAATGACATCACTGATTTTCTGCCATGGTTCCAGCTCCTCCTCCTCACATTCCATAAACAGGTCGGTGTCCGCCATGCTACAAGGAAAAAAAAAGAGATTAAGATACTAACCTCAGAATGGGAGAAACAGATTAGTACAAAATACAGAATCCTATTCTTGAATTCACTGGTAACCTACCTCAAGGTAACTAGCCACAAAGTTCTCCCTTTACAATTTCCTTAACCTTTTCCCCACTCCCACCGGCTCCCCACCCCCACATCTAAGGGCCCAGAATTAAAATTTTTACTGCTGAAAGGGGGGAAAAAATGAGTCTGGAAGGATATCAATGTTAACAACAATTACTATGGCTTCCAGTGTTTTTATGAAACCTCAAATGTGCAGCCTTCTGGCCACGTGTCTGCAATTTCATAGTTAGAACATTCATTATATCCTTGAGAGTTCCAAATTTCTACAGAAATTATGGTGCCATAAAAGATTCTGAGGTGATGAGGAAAGTTTGTGTCTTTCAAAATGCAAAATGATTTTCAAGTGTCAAGAATTTCTTTGGGTTGACTTCTGTATTTGCCACTGCCTGTATTGCTGAACTATGAAACATGAATATTTGGGCTAAAGAATGTTTTTTCTTAGGGCCTCCCCGGTGGCACAAGGGGTCAAGACCCAACTCAATGAAACTATCCACAGCCAATGCAGTGCCAAATTCAATTCCAAACCAGGAAGGTGGACCCATATGGCACAGCGGGCCTCTCCTGATCTGCCCACTGTTCCCCTCAGCAGTGTACTTCAGTACATCTGCCTGTTCTGTTCCCCACTCTTGTCTCTGGTGAATCCTTTCTCACTACCCACACCTCTGGCCTACTATACCCCAGCTCCTGTATGCATAAATAAATCTTTTTTAAAGTTTTTCTTGATAAAAAATTAACAAAAAAAACCATTAGAGCAAAGCAGTCTTTAATTAGAATTTTAAGAGTTTGTAATATCCAGGGCTGGGATTAGAGTAAATACACAGTTATATAAACAGAGGGTCAGATTTTGTTCTTACTGTGTTCATTACGGAAAAAAATTATTAATCCTTATTTTTAAATGATACATTACACTATTCCTTACTGATTTTTATAATACCTTAACTTTTGCACCCAAGATGAAAATATGACTTACACTCCAGTCCTACTACTACTTTGTATAGAATCATTAAAAATTTTATCAGCCTTTTATTTAAAAACACTGCCTAAGTTAGATGTTGTTTTAAAAATAGTGCCTATACCTTTGCAATGCAAACAAAAAGCTACTGCTGTTCTGCCCTCCAGTATGTGCTGACTAAATATCAATTTCTTTATCTTCGAAAGAGCATAGTGTTACTGTTCATGTTCAAGCAAAGTTTTAAATGCAAAGATTCTCAGTGAATTTAGTGTAATCCCAGTAATTTCCCCAACAAAATCCCTTAGCCAAAACAGAGCAACCAACCAACCTAGCTTTCTAGGTAGTTAGACCCATACAAATTTGTTAGTATTTGTTTGTGAGATGCCCAACAGATGGCGTTGTTCCCTTGGAAATTTAAAATATCCCAGCAATGCCCCCTTGAGTTAGCAACATGCCAATGCTCACAATTCTGTGAGTAAAATGTTTAACTTGAGTCTAGTTGGTCTCTAAATACTCTATCTCAATTTGTCATCCCAAACTAAAACCACAAAGGCATAAAAGAATAAGCAATGAGAAAGATTTAAAGTAGCAACTTAATTTTTCTTCGCTTCATATATAATTTACATATAAAAAGCCAAAGCTATCAAGAAGCTGAACCAAGAAATCCTGTTTTGGCATCCTTTGAGTCAATACACAACACATACTTCCGTATTTTCCAGTCCAGTTCCACAGACGGGAAGAACCATTCTGAATGACTTTTTCTAACTACTTAATTTTATACTGTTGTCCTTTGTTGTATGACTTAAGAGCCCATAGCCAACAGATAATTAATGCATAAACATCAAATGCCCAGCAAAATGACTGTAAACTACAGATAACCTCTACACAGACGGTTTTCAAGGACCTTCTTTCGGCTCTGACCAGCTGCAAGCGAACTTCCCACATACATGCTAAGCAATCTGTGAAAAACTCTTTTGGAAAAAGTAGTTAGCTGAATGCAAATTGTGCTTTTTGATATCCTGTCTGTGGATATTGTAGTAACATCCCAAAGGTTAACCTTTTATCTCAGTATTTGATAATACCTTTAGAGACTGAGTTCGTGGTTTTGTTTTTGTTTTTGTGAAGCAATGAATTTTACCAAGACTATTCAATGTTTCGTCCATCTAGCAAAGTCAATGTTATTCCATCCATGAAAAAGATAATTCTATGAAACAGGAGAAAAGGTACATCTGAAAAGATGCCAAAGAAGGATGTTTATTCCTTCTTTTTATTGCGTGAGAAAATTAATTCCTTGGGCACAGTCTAGCCAAGACTTTCAATGAAAACGAAGATTCAAAATAGAAAGAAAATTCAACATTTTTTAAGTTATTTTTTAAATTTATTTATGCATACAAGAACTGGGGTTTAGGCCAGATTGCGAGGGGGTAGAAACAGAGTGGGGAGCAGAACAGGCAGATCTACTGAAATACACTGCTGAGGGGAACGAATACAGGACACCAATAAAACTTGTCAACCAAATAAATCTGTTGAGTAAGCATATTTTTACACATCAAAAACATCTCTAGAAGACAATAAAATGTATTTATGGGCATAGATATGCCTTACATTTTAAAAAAAGAAAAGAAAAAATTGTATTGAAATTCAATCCTTATTCAATTTAGAGACATTTCATTTCTTCTGAAAAACCATCAGATAAAAAAAGGCCTGCCCTCCCTGTGGCATAATGGGTTGGGAAGCAGCAGCAGCCACTTCTGAGGGAGTTTGATCCCGGGGCCCCAGAGGTGATCCACATGGCAGGGCAGACCTCTCCTGTCTCACCCACTGCTCCCTTCAGCAGTGTACTTTGTGGATCTGCCTGTTCTGCTCCCTACTCTGTCTTTGGTGAATCCTCTCACCACCCCTGCACCTCTGGCCTGTATTCCAGTTCTGTATGCATAAATAAATATTTTTTTTAAATGAAAGGCCCAGCTCTCCCTGGTGGCACAGCAAGTTAAAGCACCACATTATGAAGCTCTCTAGAGCCACTGCAGCATGAGTTCAATCCCCAGCCCCGGAGGTGACCCACATGGCACAGCAGACCTCTTCTGACCCACCCGCTGCTCCCCTCAGCAGTGTACTTTGTCAGCCTGCCTGTTTTGCTACCCACTCTGCCTCTGGTGAATCTTCTTACTGCCCCTGTACCTCTGGCCTGTACCTCAGAGTTCTGTATGCATAAATAAATAAATCTTTTAAAAAAATGAAATGAAATGAAAGGCCAACACATAACAAGTTGCAGTGGGTCAAGAGGAGTGGACAGGCAATACATATGAGAAACATACTGTAACTCAGTAAACAAACTATCATCATTCAACAACTATGAGTGTCTCAACCAGAACAGTGGTGATTCTTTTTCTCCTATTTTTAAAGAGAGGTAAATTTTAATTAAGCACAAAAACAGCCAGACACAACCATTATCCATCATCCAGCTTTAAAAATTATAAACTCAGGGCCCTCTCTGGTGGCCCAGAGGGTAAAACACAGCACTAAAAAGCTAAGGCAACTTCAGCGTGAGTTTGATCCCCATCCGAAAGTGACCCACACGGTGCAGCAGACCTCTCCTGACCCTCTCGCTGCTCCCTTCAACCATGGACCCTTTTCTATGGGTCCCAGCCAGAAGGTGCTTTAGTCCTGTGGCGGCTTTCAGGCCTTGCTTTAGACCAATCCCTTTTGGGTGGACTTTTGCCCACGAGGGGATGGTGTCTGATTTAGAAATTATATTGTCTTCTGTGTTGTAGACTCACTGTATGAAAGTCCCTTTTCATTAAAGTCTTAACATGTTTTGTCTTGATGCAGCAGATGGCAGAACCTATTTGGAGCAGACAGGTTTGGGGATTCAGTGGTGCCCCTCTCCTTGCCCTGTAACAAGTCTTTTCTGCTCCCCACTCTCTGGTGAATCCTCTCACTGCCCCTGTATCCCAGTTCTGTATGCATAAATATTTTTTAAAGATTATAAACTCAAACCTAATCTTGTTTGTTTCATCTATGCCCTCTTCATAGATTATTTTTAAGCCCCTAATATCATAAACATTTTGGCATGTAGCTCTAAAATATAAGAACTTGAAACAATCATATATTTTAAAAAGTACCATTACATACATAAAAAACTGACAGTCCCTTAATATCAAACACCTAGCCAACATTTATACTTCACATTTTCTCAGATTTTCATACTTTTGAAAATTTGTCTGAATTTGGATTCAAATAACATGATTGAAGAAACAAGTCGCTGACTTCCTTTGGTTCCTACAAGCCTGGATACTGTTGATGATAGACACATGCCTCTGTACTCTGTATATCTTCCATAAGAAAAGGCATATTCCAATCATTCCATATTCATTTCCTAAAAGAAACAGTTCTATTAAAAACCAAAAAACATTCTCTATTTGGTTACCCAGTGATGGCTTATATAGTATGCCCTTTTTTTTAAAAGACATTTATTTATTCACACAGAACTAGGGTACAAGCCACAGATGCAGAGACAGTGAGAGTCTTCACCAGAGACAGAGTGGGGAGCAGAACAGGCAGATCGACGAAGTACACTGCTGAGGAGCAGCGGGCAAGACAGGAGAGGGCTGCCACACCATGTGGGTCATCTCCAGGACCAGGGATCGAACTTGCACTGAAAAGGCTGCAGCTTGCAGTGCTGCGTCCTAACTGTTACGCCACCAGGGAGGGCCCAGTATGTCTTTTTTTTTTTTTTAAGATTTATTTATTTATGCATACAGAACACAGGCCAGAAGTGCAGGGGCAGTGAGAGGATTCACCAGAGACAGAGCAAGGAACAGAACAGGCAGAAGTACACTGCTGACGGGAGCAGCGGGTGGGTCAGGAGAGGTCTGCCGTGCCTTGTGGGTCAGTTCCTGGACAGGGGATCAACTCATGCTGAAACAGCTTTAGCTT